TTACTATGCACTCTTTGAACTCGGGCACAGCCGCACCCTATTGCGCGCGGTTCTTTTGTCTCGTAAATGACACTTGTTGGTGGATATGATGAAGTATATGCGTAGACAACAGCCAACACTGCTGTCTCAGGAATGTGCTACATGAATTTGAAGAAAAAAACAATACAGCGAACAAATAGTTCTGTTCCCGACTGGCGACTCACTTTGCCCATCTAGGTAACTGACAATAATATCAAAACATGCAGAGTATTTGACACTGGTCTTAGTAATGGTCGTGAGGAAACAGAAAGTTGTAAAAGGGCGGATAACACATATAGAAAATGCGATAGGGGCTGCAACGTAAGTCTGCAAAACGCACCCGTGTTACATTCAGCGGAGCGTCAAACCTCAGGATATCACATGCTTCAAAATGTATTTCTACGTCAACCTAAGCGAGTCACTGTGATGACTAGCTTTGCAGTCGTACTCTGACTAACCGTTTAGACTTGGTACTGAACAGCTAACGGCATCAGCAGCAATGGTCACGTGGTTGAAATGACGGCGAGGCAGTTTGTTGGCCAACCGTTATGCATGAAACGGCGAGACTATCGTATTATTCCCCTGTTTACTTGTGAATGGGCTGTCGGTCACCAGACTTCTTGCCGACCTCTGTGCATCATCTCTTGGTGATGCATGCATTCTGAGAACGACTGCTGAAGTGACGCCAACCACTTATCACTAATATCAAGCTGTGAGATGTTTACTGTTGGCCACTTCTGGCTATGACCGACCGCTCACAACTCGTACGAGAGCACCGCTTGTCGTGTTTCTTTTTCTGCCCACTTACACTTTGCAGCATTTCTTACCCAAGAGTGCCGCGGCTGACACTTGCGTTTTGCAGTGAGAGTGTTGACGTATGGTTTTCGGAGTCGTGAGCGACCAGGTCAGGTCAGGTCAGGTCAGGTCAGCTCAGGTCAGGTCGAAGTCATCCGCTCATGAGGTAAAGGGTCTGTGATAAAGATCCTCCCACTGGCGGCCTACGTTGTATCCTTTTAGAGGATAGAGGATAGACTTAGAACGGAAACGTGAAGTACATAAATGCCCTGACAGACTTCCATTCATAAGCATCTTAACTGAAGAGGGTCGCACGACTATGGTACGCTTCGCGCGAAAAAAAGAGCACGTCGGCACATTTGCGTTTGAGTTCGCTTTTGCAGAGTGGTGGCGAAAGCACGATATTACGCTACTTTGCCAGCTCCCTGTACCCGGAGGGCTGATAAGGGAGTGCTGTCTTTCGGGGAAGGGAAGGGCTTTGCAGTAGAAAGCAAGAAAACACGACATACTGTCCGTAGCAGACGATGAAACCTGTGATAACGTAAATACCGCCTCACCAGAGCGGTGTGATACTCCGTGCCGTTCTCAGTGATCCTCCATGCCGTTCTCAATGATCCTTTTAGCCGGTTCACACGAGACGCATGTGCTGTTTTCTGCACCATGTAGTGAGATCTCATCTTCACACAAAAGGTGACCGATTCCGCGCCGTGCGGGGATACCACGCCTTCACACAAAAGAGCGGCCAATGGTAGCAAGCCCAGTAGCAAGAGCTCGCACCGCGCTGTCACGTCCAAGGTAATGTAACCATAGATTAGTGTCTGACAAGTGGTTGCTGGTGTGCATTTAACAATCAGCAGAGCGGTTTGGAAAATGTCGGCACCCAAGGCTGCTTCCAGCACCTAGACGCCTGCGTCATACGTACTGGCAAGGACAGACGCCAGCGGGCACGCGGTATCGTGCACGGTTTTGTCACGTGATCATTGACTTTGGAGAATGGCTGCTCTGAAGTGTTCAAACCATGAGTATGACGATACCGCAGATTGATAAGGCAGTAGTATTAGCCTTATTCATCGGAGAAAAGCCAGGAAAATGGAGATATAGTTGAATTTTTTTAGGAATTCACTTCTGCTATTGTTTCAATAATGGTACGTTGCCGAAATGTCAGACCAAGTATATCTCCATTCTCTTGCTTTTTTTCTACCAGGAATAAGGCTAATTCTACTTTTTTATCTATGTGAATAATGTTCCTCGTTAATGCACTGAATAAGCTACGGCAGATTCCAAGATCGGTCGAGTTTCAGAAGTCCAAACTGCTTGATGATGGGCACCAGATTGCTTCATGCGATCATAACCACATGAGCTGATTGTGTTGCGCTCCAAAAGTTACTCTCAACGGTTAACTGCACGGGGAGCGACTTTCTAGCCACACGAAAGGAGTCAGCCCAGCTGTCCATTCGGAAACTTAAATGCCCTCCATAGACATTATATGGTTTTGGAAATGCAGCTGCATCCCAATATGAAGCCAGCGCAGGGTCTATGCGTCGATTTCACATGCGTAACATCGACGGAGGACGCCCCGCTCTTCAGTTCACAGATCTCGTCCACCGGTCGTCAGTCCGCTGACGCTGTCCACATGGCAGGTCACTGATCGCTGGTGAGGCCACATGATCACAACTCAGCGCATGATCATGTGTGGTCCCTGGCGCATGCTTCGTAGAGCGAAGCGGCTTCAAGAACGCTTAGCGCGCTCAAGGCTGTACACAAGGGTGACGAGATCACGACAAATACCGGCCGACGAGGGTGGTGCGAAGCTCCGTGTGGAACATTATAATATTTTCAGCCGGTTCAAACAAGCCGGACGTTACATGTTCGGTGTCACATACTCATGTCACATGTTCACATGCTCCGCACCATGCGGTGATACCACACGACAAAGTTGTAAAGCTGCTTTCCAGTCAAGATGCTTTTTAAATGAAAAGGGGACACGGACGTAGGTCGCCACGTCCCTGTTATGGGGCATCATCGGGTGCATTAACCACATCAGCGTTCAAGAGCCATGGCGGTACCTGGGATTCGAACGCGGTCCTCCAGTCCAGCTGCCTACGCAGCGTCAGTATTAGATGACACGTCCGTTGATCATCAGCAACCAGGCTTGTAGGTCATCAGTCCAGTGGACGCATCAATGGCCTATCTTTTCAGCACTCCTCTCGACGACGAGTGCTGAAGCTTCACGACGCGATCAATTGGTCACCTGTCGCCATTCGATCAGTTTGATCGCCGTTTGATGGCCCCGCAGGTCATTAGCTCAACAGTCGCCGCCACAAGAACTGGGTCGTCGGTCACTTAACGACGCCCATAGACCCCCGGTCATCAGTCCACGTCTCGGCCGCGCAGGACTCTGGTCCACCTGCCACGTATATGGACCGGTTTCGGTGGACCGGTCCACATACGCCTGTGGACCGGTGGATCAGACCCTAGTCCACGTATCGAATATGCACAGAACATGGCGCGACCGTGCAGCGGTAATTAGACCGCAGAAGGTGACCAAGTTTAGACTAGGCCTGGATCAGGCTTAGACCATGTTTAGACCATTAGGCCAGGTGGCGCTTCACGCCAATCGGTCCGTGGCTGTCGATGCCCCGCTCACTCCTTTTGAAGGGTCAGACTCCACCTTGCGGTCGATGCTCCCCTTTTGTTTGAGGACATCCGGCTGCGCATGTGGTGGTTACCGCCAGTTGACCATCCAGTCGCGGCGGATGGTAAGTGCTTGCCAAGCCTGGGTTGTACGTACCTGATGTGATCATACGGTAAAGCACGTCAATCAGGAAAGTGAGTGTAAGTAGCTTTTGAAATGTGGGCCTCATCGCCTGCCAAATCCACCAGCCTAACTTAGTTGACGTAGCTTAAACCTTGGCTACGCGGTGACGAAGCTTACAGCCACCGCATCAGCCATGCGCCGCTGCACACGTGTGGTGCGTTCCCAGTCGTTCACATGATGTAGTCTGGAGCTCAATAACCTCGAGCTTGCGGGTCCGCGGGGCGGAGCGCTTACACTGCCGCTGAGGCCACGCGGAAACTCGCACGCCGTTCGGTACCTACACTCGGCGTGGTCATTACTCGATTTTTATCGACAGTCACGCCAGATTTTTGCATCGAACGCCGAGCTGCAGAAGGAACCAATCACAGGCCAGGGCAGGGTGAGAGTAGGCCGCGGCTGGGCCGCCGTTCGAGATCGGCTGCCACGTGGCGGAACCCTCAGCTTTGAATGCCTTGCGAAATCAGTGAGCTCGCTACACGAGTGTCTGCAAAAAGGTCCAACGTTTGTACTGCGGAGGTCAGCGAACTGCAACTGTGACGAAGTCTTCCCGCTTGATCTTCAAAATCCCGGGTGTGTCCTACATGTACCAGCCGCTGGCGCTGCCTGATGGACTGCGCTAGGCGCTGACCGTCGTACTCCGCAACGCACGGCTCTGCGACCCGGTCTGTGTCCGCAGAAAACGACGGAATACAGGCCGCTTTAAGCGCTGTCGACCGCGATCCACTGGTCACCACTCAGCTTCGTGTGCCAGGCCAGCGCGGTGGTCTCCACGACCGGCCCCGTGTCCGCAGGACTCGAGTTGTTATCGTGCGATGTACTGGATAACTGCCTCAACCGGCCCCGTGTCCGCAGGACTCGAGTTATTATCGTGCGATGTACTGGATAACTGCCTCGGTCGTGTCCACAGCCAATCCGGCAGTCATGCTCCCGAGCGCGGCGCTGTGAAAGTGGCACCGCGGCGTCTGTTTGCATTCGTACGGGATCACGTGGCCGCTCCGTTGTGGCAGTTCGCCAGCGGTTAGTGCGCGCTCGAGTAGCAGCCTGCTAATGCTGCGGGGTGTGGATGTAGGGCGGGCGGGGCCCGACCTGCGCTGGAGGTGCGGCGGTGTCACGCTGGCGTGACACGTGGAGCGCAGGACAGAGCTCTCCACAGAGCTGTGACAGAGTGTCACGGCAGCTCGCCGTTACACTGCCCTGCACGCCCGCGTCACACTGCCCTGCACGCCCGCATCACACCTGCCCGCTCCGCTGGCGCGTCGTCCTCTCCACGCTCCTAATCTGTCCGACCGCCGCGGCTGAGCTCAGCCAGCTCCCACACAGAGGCTGCCGCCACCCGCCCGTCTGGCCGGTAGGGGGTGAAAGTACTCACGGGCCGCGTGCATCCTGCGCGTCTCAGGCGGACACGCCGCCGCTGTCCCGCCGCGCGGGTCGCTGTCGCAGTCACAACACGCGCCCCACTCCCCACACGGCGCGCCGCGGAGGCCCCGTACCGCACCCCACTGCCGACACCCGGGCTCGGTGAAACGCTGCACTGCCGCCCTCGCTGGCGACGCGCCGCCGGCCGACCTTGGCAGGCGTGTGACGTCACATTGCAGGCGCGCCTGCGCGCCGCCGGCCCCCGCATGACAGCTGAGGAGGCGCCTGACACCCAGGGCGCGGGAGCTGGAGGGGGCGGGGCGCGCGCCCCGCCGCGTTTCTCGCAGGTCAGGCACCGTTTGAAGGCGCGCGGAAATCCTGGCTCAACGATTGAGGGTGGCCACGTGCTTTCTGCAAGTTGCCCACGGCTCTGCACGCCTCAATTGCCAGGTGCCCACCGTGCACGCGCGAGAGTATCGACCCGCGAGCGGGCTGACTTGATGCCGGCGTACCTCACTCGCATTGTTCGACCGGCCGGGCGCCTTCCGGCTGCTGGACATGGTGTGTGGACATGTGTCCACAGCTGGACATGGTGCGTGGGCGTGTGCCACCGGCTGGGCATGGCGTGTGGACATGTGCCGTTGGCTGGACATGGCGTGTGGACATGTGCCCTCGACATGGCTGGCGTGCAGCCCATTGGCTGACAGCACCAGGCTGCAGAGGTCCCTTCATTTGGGTTTCACTCATCCATCCATAAAAGTGGGCCGACTGTGCACACGCTGCAAGGTGTGCGTGCAAAGCGAGTGGTGGAGACACGCTGCGTAAAATATAAATGAGCCCACGTTCGGCCGACCGGTTTACGGGTGCGGAGGCCGGGGGAGGGGAGGGGGAGGGGGAGGGGGAGGGTTAACTGGGAACCAAAAATAGCAATCGACCGTTCAACTGAGGAGAGCTTCCATTGCCCTGGGCCGACGACTTCGGCTACGGCGCAACGGCGTCGGAATCATGGCTTTGCACATGCTCACATTGATGGGACCGGAGCAATGGTTAGCTGTTGTACTATGTTACATTGCGTCATGCATCGCGTAATGATCGCCAGTTACACTGAGGGGATATTGATAAAATAGCCACCTTATATTGCATTCTATTAAGCCGAAGTGCATGCCCGCATTAAAGGGGTCTGAAATCATGAGCGTTTGAGTTGAGCAACGGGCGCGCGGAGGCAAAAAATATTGATTCCGTGCCACGGAAGCACAAAATATTGATTCCGATATTGAAGCACAAAAGATATTGAAGCACAAAATATATGTGCGCGGAGCCACAAAATATTGATTCCGTGCGACGGAAGCGATCGAGCAGTATGACGTTCACCGATGCAGCAGCTGGTGATGCGCATAAGTGGTATCTGGCGTGCCGAGGACGTTCAGGGTTCATTGATGTACCTGAGGCGCTTTTTCATGAAAGTTACAATGCAAGCATCACTCATTTTTGTATATCCTTGACGCCTGTGTAATTTAGAAAATATTTGTATCACTTCAACGGACCATTTAAAGGGTCATTTTGCTGGTTGATTTTAAAAATCTGCTCCACACGATTTTTCGCCCCGATGATTTTCATACTCCTTGCTTTTGCAGGGCTGAGAACTTGTTCACTTTTACTTCATTTGCCGCATGTGACTACCAGCATCCCGTTCAAATGCCAATGGTTGATTTTTGAGCATTGCTTTTTCACTGCTGAAAGGTTTTAGCGTGTTTGTTTTTGGCATACGCGCATTTGTAAATACTGCGGTACTGAAGATCGTACCTTCACAACAATTTACTTATCGCCCTTGAATTTCTAGCGGTCCGTGCCTGGGAAACCAGAGGAGCGGGGGTTTGATTCCCCCTCGGCGCCCGCCTCCCTGCTAGCGTGAGCGCCTGGCGACGTCTCGAAGTCTCAGCTGTTGAGTGCGGCATAAAGCTCCAGTGACACAATAGCCTTGTTTACATAGGGAATTGAAAATCTTGCCTGACTGGCACCAAAGCTGGCCACCTGTAGGGTTTTGTAATATGTGTATACGTGTATGCTTGTATGTATGTATGTATGTATCTACCTATCTATCTATCTATCTATCTATCTATCTATCCATCTATATATATATATATATATATATATATATATATATATATGTATATGTACATGTACATTTTTCGTGTGCATCCGCGTTGCTGGTAACCTGGCGCCCTTGGTCAAGCTGTGCAGCGCTTTGTTATCGCATTGAAGTACCTATAATGAAAACCTTACCTGTTTTCTGCGAAATCCATGTCGATTTTATGTTCTTAGCTGCACTTAAGAAATTCTCAAGCACACCACAACAATGCCAACAGCAACAAATGCCACATGACTTTGTCCCATTCCTCAGGGTCAGACGAGGCTGATAATAGGTTCAATGTCAGTGCCTCATGCCCCCAGTGCTGAAGAGCTGTAATGTTGCCCAACCATTGGGGGCGCATGCGCATATGGTCTTTGTGATGCGCTGCCACGTTAGCATCTCAACGTTTGGATGGAGACAAGCAGACGGATATGCAACCTGCGCCTGAGTCAGCTGTAGTGACACACCGTGCGCCTTTACTTACCAGCAATCACTAGTTAGTGATAGATGGTCCAGTATCGCGAGGTGAGGAATCCATGGTGAAATGACGGGCATTGAACGTTAGGGCTAGTGACGCCGCACATAACGTTATGTTAGGGCTAGTGACGCCGCACATAACGTTATGTTAGGGCTAGTGGCGCCGCACATGACGGTATGTTAGGGCTAGTGGCGCCGCACATAACGTTATGTTAGGGCTAGTGGCGCCGCACATGACGGTATGTTAGGGCTAGTGGCGCCGCACATAACGTTATGTTAGGGCTAGTGGCGCCGCACATGACGGTATGGTAGGGCTAGTGGCGCCGCACGTAATGTTATGTTAGGGCTAATTGCGCCGCACACAACGTTATGTTGGGGCTTGATCTTATCATGATTCTTATCTCCTCTCCTCGAACCACGCGAGCTCCAGGAGTGAGGATCCTCTTCAGGCGACTTCACCCATGTGCACCGAACCAACGAGCGGCACGCTCTGAGAGCAATCCAACCGACCCAACGTCAAAGGGTTAGCTCTCACTTTCCCACCGAGCTATATGTTTTGGCCCAAGTAGCCTTAGCTCACCTGGTGCCAACAGTTGTAATCACGCCTCGTCATCTCCATACGCACTTGCTATCGCGCCTGAACGACCTCCAGTGTTTCCCGGTATGTCTTATTTTCCTCGCCAGGTATCTACTCTGACAGTGAGCCTGTAGCCTCAAGATTTGCTTGCTATTTGTGGTCAGCTCTGATTTCGGATTTGGGAACGGTATTGCAACGGACTGCTATGACAGGAAAGTTTAGCTTCAAGCCTAGCCACTTGACCTTCTGTGCAACAAGTCACATTTTATACCATTGTTCATTATATTTATATGCATGAACCCCACGCTGCTTTCACCGTTACTCCTACGTTTTAGCAACGTGACTGAAGGCTGACAGTCGGTTTCGTGACGGCCGGTTCAGTGATAAGATGGAAATGGCTGATAGAGAAGCGCCGGATAGTTCGGCTCAGGGGGATAACATGAGAAATATCTACTCGGTTCGTCGAGCACTTGTAGTCTCGCAGCACAGGTGATGAGCCAATGACACGCGTGAAACCATCGATGAAAACCGCAGACAGTGCACCGGAAGCTGATGTGGCTGAACCACCTGATTAGGTGATGAATTGCCGAAGACTGATTAGGGCTTTCCATGATTTGTCATTACACTCTTTTTCCATCTTTGGGCGTTGTCTTCTGGCATATGATACCAAGACGCGGAAATCCGTCCCGGTACCCCTTTGGCTCGAACCACCCGCTGTTGCTTGATTTTGTCAGGCCTTCAAAAAGAACTTAATCTCGACTTTAGGCGTTTCGGGGCGGTAGCCGGACCAACGCTCGGGTGGTGCAAAAGCACGCTTCAAAGAATAACCATCTTAGCATGTGCAGGCAAATTTTGTGCTTTTGTGTACAGTGACGCCAGCGTTGTTCGTAACGCGTCGGGGTCAATCTAACAAGAGGCGCTCACGCTCAACGCTTGCCAATCACCAAAACTGTGTCGAAACGGAGCCGATTACTTGGGAACTCGGAGTGTTAGTGACACGTGAGGGACACCGTTTCACAATGGACTGGGCTACCAAGTTGCTCCATCTCATCGTATCAGTTTGCTAAGAAGCTGTATTGAAGGTGAGTCTAGATGGCACTGTGCCATCATAGCGTTGCTGGCACGCCACCCCCGTTTAAAACAAAGCATTCAACTCTCTTTATGTGCATAGCATGAAAGCAGTGTCGACGTTTAACTATTCAAAACCACCAAGGTGTCGAAACGGAGCCCATTACTTGGAAACCGGGAATGCTAGCGACGCGGAAGGGACACCGTTTCACAATAGACCGGCTTCAAAACCACGGCAACGTAAGCACATCGACATACTTGCAGCTTTGGTCGCGCTGAGGATTGAAGTGGGGCCTCGGCGGCCAGACCAAATATGACGTTGAAATCACGGGTTTGCCACAGGCGCTCGATTGAACCGCAAACCTTGCGGGCTTCGTCCAAAGCTGCTCAACTCGCAGGAGCGCCGGTAATCGGGCGGGGCGATGTTGGAAAATCCCGTCTGAAATGCACGCACCAAAGTCCTAAAGCGAGCAGTATTTGGCGATGGAACGCATATGATCGCGCAGCCAGAATGCCACTGCATAATGAGCCCTAAAGGGCGCGCTATTATTTCCTCCCATCTGCACGCAAAAGACAAGCGACCTATAAGCATTGCGTAATATGCCGATGCTAACATGCATGTTTACGAGGCAAATTGTGGCACCCACCGTATACATGTGCCACCATTGTCAAACAAAGCGTAAGTTGGGCTGTTTCAGGGCGTTTAACTGAGGACGATGGGTAAGGAAAGCACTTTGAAATCACACTCAAGGTGCTTTTCGTCAAACTTGGACCATTTCCTTCAAACAGCTGACTCATAATTTGACGAAGTGAGTTGAGTGAGAGCGAGCAAGTAAACTCCACCATTGCATTATGGTGAGCCTAAGAGTGGA